GGTGGTGGTGGTGGTGGTCTTGTTGGTGTTGGTGTTCTTGCTGTTGCTGTTGCTGTTGTTGCATTTGCTGTTTTTGTTTGTGGTGGTAGTGGTGGGGGTTGGGGGTGGGGGTGGGTGGACGGGGGTGGGGGCAGTTGGTGGTGGGGGTGGTGGCGGTGCTGCTGCTGGTTGTGGTGGTGGGTCGTGGTCGTCGTCGTTGTGGTTGTCGTTGTTGCCCTTTTTGTTTTGTTGTTGTTGCTGCTCGTGTTGTCCACTCGTGTTTTTCATTGTTGCTGTTGTTGTTCGACTAATTCTGCTGCTGCTGCTGCTGCTGTTTTGCTGAAGGTTGTCCTTGTGTTCCTCTTGTTGTGATGCTCAGACAGCCTGCAAGATAAGTTGCAGGCGGAAAGTGATTGATTGCAGCCGGAGTTCGTACTGATATGCGGAAGGTGATCGAGACATGCGGCTGTGTGTGGTCATGTGCATTCGAGACAGGGTCTGGAGGATTTTTCGAAGCTTTGACAAGGTAGTCTGCGAGTGCCGGTGCAAAAGTACTAGCCGCGTCGAATCCAGGCTCAAAGAAGAGCAGCTCGCTGAAAGAGTTGCGCGCGAGCGCAACTTCAAGACTCAGGACTTGGAGTGCGGTGCCGGTTGCTTGGCACAAGAGTGGAAACACGACCTTTGTCAGGGGCATGCTCCACAACAAGAAGCAGCCGAGCGCGCAGAGGCACAATTTGGAATGCAGCATACAGATCTAGTTTTTCCTTGCACGGAGAAGAACTAGAAACAAAGAGCAGCAGAAACCCAACGAAAGGTCCCAAGATTTGTTGAGCGAGCAACTGGCCAGCAAGGCAGATTAAGATTTTCTGTAGCCTATCAAAAGTCTAGGGTGTTTGGGCAGGTTCTGTGTTGCATCCCTGCCCGTCTCCTAGCGGAGGATGTGGTAAAGGCAAACAGCGCAGGCAAAGGGGAAAAAAGTTGTAACATGCTAGCAGCTAGCACCAACGATACGCTACCCCATCCGACAGTGAGTCGATGTCGTACCTTCGCATTGTGTCGTGATCGAGCTTGTAAACAGAGACGCCGACATTGTGCCCAAGCCGACTGTATGTTCGGTTGAAGTTGACGCACGCTCTCTCACTATTTAGGACGGTATAGAAAGAGTCTAAGAGAGAACCGAAGTCAGGACCAAGCCGAAGGGAAGAGAAAGACTCAATCCACGAGACAGACAAGAGCAGCACACTAGACCCGTGATGTCTCCCGCCCCGAGTGTAATTAGTAACCAGTCACTGCGGGTCGATACAAATCCGAGTTTTCCAGCTTCAGCCCGGGGGTGCAATACCACCTCCCTGCAGCTGGAGCGCGAAGGAAGAATTGCCCCGGTTAAATGCGGACCTTTCTGCAAAGTATCAGGCAAGAAAAGGACTGTGATGAGAAACAGACAGCGAGGCAAGTACAATTACTCTCAGCGCAGTGCATCGCAGCGGAGCGCAGAGTCACATGACACGTGCCTGTTTCGGTGATTCTACGATTCAGTTTTTGGCTCAAACACTTCCGGCTTGAGCTTGAGACCCAGAGGCATGGGTTATTTACAGCCTGGCCATTGGCGACTACATCGAGCCCGCGGCCTACGCGGCCTACGACACCACCCACACCAAGCAATGCCGAGTTATGCCGAGTTGACAACCTCCAGCAGAACAACACGCAGGGACAGTGGGCAGAGGTGACCTGTTTGGTGGCTGGACAATGGAGGAGGCAAGGATGATAACTGGCAGTTCGAGTTTCGCCTGGGCAAAGGGGTTGCTCGAAGCTGCAAGTGGTCAAAGAGGGAGCGTGGTCTGGATTTTCATTTTGATAAAAAGTTCAGACGCGTCCGCGCAAAAGTCTGTCGACGACGAAGTCGCGCGACTTGCAGCTCCACTCCTTACGGGGACGGGCGGAGCTGCAGGCTGGCGTTCGAAGAGGCCCGACTGCCCCCACCCAACGCTTCGGAACAGGATCCTCGAGCAGCATCTGGGTTTTTCCAAAAAGGAGGTCGCAAAGGAGCGCGCCAACAACAAGAAGCGAAGGAAGGAGGATCCCAGCTACGGCCTGGTGGGACGACGATCCAAAGGACGAGTCCCTGACCGATACGTCGACGAGCTCATCCACGTGGGGGTCCTCTGGGCGCAAGAAAAAGAAAAAGAAGAAAGCAAAGGCGAAGACGGACGAGGACAGAGTACTGGTTGGATCTGGGCCGACGATCGACTACGGTCGGGCCTTGGAAGTGTCTGGCGGGATCTAGTGGGTCTTGGGACCAAGGGCAACTTTTTCGCACTTGAAGCCTGCAAAGCAGTGTTTTACACTGATGTTAGCATCGATGTAGCAAGAGGTTTGTTGAATTGTCCGGTCCGTGTAGGATTGTGCAGCATGACTTTCGTGACGTGACACGGTATGGTAGCTTGTGCCTTGTCTTGTGCGGCCTTTCGGAAGGTCGTGTGAGCTACTTTGAACAGTTTGATGCTCGTGAGTGCTTGGCCTGGATCTAGTTCGTGCATTTTCTCAAGGGGACAGGCTCTGTAGAGTGCGACTTCGCGGTGACGATAAGCTTAATATGTAGGGTTACGCGTACGGCGACAGCCCCTAGCTGCATGCTCAGGAGCGTCCGGGCAGGCTGGCCGCCAGGCTTCTGCAGAGTATGCAGGACATGGTGGGGAAGGAGAGGGGGGAGCATCCACACCGTTACCTACGCGAACAAGGCAGTTGCGTGGCCGTGAACTCGGTGCTAACCGTGTCGGCGCCAAGAAGCTTCCAGTGCGAACCTTTCGTGAGACGAGGACACTGGCCCGCCCTCGACATGATCGCAGCAGATTTGGTCGCAGACCGACACGACCTGGAACCGGGCCCAGTCATGAATCGGTGCGAAGAAAAAGCTGCCAGACGACGGTGGAACTACGGACGAGGAGTCAGTGACTCGCTCAACGAGGACTTAGTCCTGGGCTACCTGGGGGAAAACGACCACGTGGGGCTCCCCAAGGGGAAGACGGGCGGTACTTACGCTACCAACCTTCTTCGGGGATTGTCAACGAAAGACTAGCGAAAGAAAATGAGAGCGGTGATGGAGAAGAGATTTTCGGATAAAGCGACTCGGCAAGCTGTTTTTTGAGGCGATGATTTCGTTGAAGTCGGATCTCGGGCGACAGGAGCTGCCCCCGGTCCGAGTTCACAACTTCTTCCGGAGACCGTGTGCGCCGCAACAAGGACAGGAGTCACTGAGGACCATGTCCACAGCCATCCGAGCGATCAACACCACTCTCAATCTCCTTTACTAACACGGCTGGTTTTGGTGTGCGTCCCGATGTTTCGCTCGCTCAAAAGCTCCAAGGGACGACTACAACAGGGAGCCGGGCGGACCATGTGGACCCGTGGTCTGCACAGGTTTCACTCCAAGCGAAATTCCGCGGGCACACCTCGCGCGGCTTACTAGGGAGCTGGTTTCTTTGATGCGATTGTTGTGGGACAGGGCAAGCCCGAGGGGTCGGATTTGTTTTGCATCGTGAGTGCTGCCCTGGTCCGTGCCGTTGGTTGGGACGCGGCGGCCTACCTGAGCCTTAGTCGGGGAGAGGCGACAGTCTGGGAAGGGCGGTAAGTCCAATTGGAAAGATTCAACCATTGAGGGGATCTAGATCGATGACGCTCGTGCAACGCTGCTTCAGCTGTCGCTGCGTCAGGTTAAGTTGTCTTTGGACAGTTGACATTGGGGAGCTGGCAGCCGATACCTGCCGTAAGTGCAGGTGTCGCCTAGTACAGGAATGCATGGGCGTGTACCCCTTTAAGCTGAATTTTTGTGCATGCACTGCCAACTCTGATCATGTCCAGCTTCTCCGGTGAGCGCTCCGTTGTGTCAGTTGCGAGAATCCACCCAGCGCAGCGCATCGTAGCGGAGCGCAAAGTAGCATCTGAGAGAAGCGAGAAAATTTTCGGCCTCGGCCACTGCCAACTCTGATCACTTCTAGTTATTGTTTCTCCGGAAAACGCTCAATTTTGCTGAGAAAACTAATGCCAATGAAGGACCGCTCTTGTGGTAGCTATCAGTAAACATCAACTATGCAGTCATATTTCGCCTAAGAATTGGATTGTTAGTCAGCTACAACTACGCGAGAGGCTTGCAGACAACCTGAGCAGGGGACTTCGGTTGAACATGCCAGACATCCATTTCGGCGTAGACGAATGAGATACATTTGGCAAGCCTCGTAGCCAAAAAAATGTTTTTCATTTCGAGCCGTCATCCATGCTGAGATAGTTGCGAAGCTGGCAGATTGAAGGCAGAGCGGGCTTCGGGAACCATGTTGCAATCAGTTCCTTCAAGTGCCGAGATTCCAAAAAGCTAGTGGATAGGGGAGCCCGGACTTGCGTCAGAGACAGTCGCCGGAACTTGAAGCCGCTAGGGCGGGGATGGGCGGCCACGAGAAGACCGCTATGGTCTGTTCGACCCCAGCTTCGCTCCACAGGACCAGAACAAGTTTGTCGTTTCGGGCACAGACATGTGTAGCTCCACGACGCAGATCTCTCTTTCCGAGTGCATCTTCTGACAAGGATTGTGACTCGGACTCGGACGCAAGCAGTGCACCTACGATGCTCAGTGCTCCAGCCCAGTGTTGTCCCACGGCAATGTGTGCGCGACAGGTCCGTCCAGACCCACAAGTGTGCAGGCGGAGTGGCCCGGTACAAACGAAGGTGGAAGTTCCGCCCGAAAGACGTTGTGCCAGGCCCAGACAGGCGTAGACTTGTTGGACATGGATGCGGATAGTGCGAGGCCTGATGGCAAGTCCCAGTTTTTGTCAGTCACCAATCAATCGATCCGATCTGCCTTCCACTTGATAATGGGAAGACCCAGAAAGCCATCCTGTTTGCTCCAGGCAACTGAGCCAGGGGCCTGCACAATCCGTCTCTGCACAGAATGCTCGTATCCCAGAGGGCAAACGCGAGAAAGATGCGTTTGCACATTCGCCTCTCGCTTCCTGGACTTGCCAGGACTTCGATTCTGGGGCCCGCGAGGCTCGAGATGTCGAGGTGGAACCCGGAAAAGCCTAGATTCAATAAAGTTGTGGGAACGGGGTACTCGGCAGTGTCAAACAACATTTGTGGTGGCTTTTCGTGGGTGCTGAGTGCTGCTGTGACATGGACTGCGGGCTTGTAGAATAGATCGGACAACATGCACTCGCAATCGCAGCAGCTGGGGTGTGCGGTTGCTGCGCGTTGCTGCTACCACCGCTGCTGCCACCGGCAGCGGTGCTGCGGGGTTCCGTGTGTCCAGAGTCCCTTTGGCAGTTCTAGATAGATCTTTGTGTGCATGGCAGCCGCCACCTGTGGGATGTTGTCGCTCTTCCCGTCGCCATTATGTCGGCAAGAGTCGTCATAATGTGAGTTGATTCTCTCTTTGGCCCTCAGGACTGGACAAATTTCTGCACACCGTCGACCGGGCAGACATCTTGAGCCTGGGCGTAAGTTTATTTTTCCGACGAGCAAAGGCTCTTTCGCCTCGTGCCCTCCCGGATGTTCTTAAAATCCAAGCATGATGTATTCAATTTCTGTGTTTGTGGAGGACAAACTAGAGCTTCTGGCTTGTGGGGTGGGGGCCATTGGGGCCATCACACTGGACTCGGCCGGATTTGGCTCGTGAGTGGGGCATTCAGGGATTCGCGACGCTGGCTCTAAGCACGATAGTATGCAGGTGATGATGTGGGAAGTTTCTTTGCTGTCTTTGCTTCTCGCCGATTTTGTCGCATCGAGAAGAGGTGGCAGACTCATGGTGCATGCTCATGAAGCTAACGAAGCTTTCATCAAGAGATATCAAGAGACTCACCCGATTGCGTCCATGCAACAACGCCTTGCGGCGCTGAGTTTCCGAACAAGCTCCGGCCGCAGAACACAGAGTGGACGTGGCCAGTCTGATGGACAGCTTGGCAAGTTTAAGGCATTTTGTCAAACTGCACTTCCGACAATACTACAGTACCTTAGATTTCTCACAGGCATGGCCAATTCAGGTTGTCTCATGTCGTTCATTACAATCCCGTTGTACATTTCTTGACCCGTACCGGGTGATATACGTGCACCCAACCGAACTATATGATTCCTGGCTCGGACATGTTCTTGGTTATGTCGGGGACACGTTGATCGTCCAGCTGACTGGTGGATTGCTAGAGCTTCCTTCTTCACAGGGAGTTGCGGGTTTTGGTTTTTGTCGCGGGATCCTAATGTCGGTTTTGGAGATACTGGCATCGGGTATGGCATTGGCTCCGTGACAAGGCAAAGGGCAGGCCAGCTTGGGGCATCTGGATCAGTCAACAATACTTGCTGTAGTCTGGGTAGGCTTCAGGACAGGGAAGGCACTCGGAAGGCACTGGGCCCTGCGTCGTTCCTGTCGCGCCAGTACAGGATCTCACCAGTTCCACGTCAACACCTTCTACATCACTGTGGGATCCAAGCCACTTGGCTCAGACCTCGAGGCTATGTCATAATGTTAGCCCAACGAAGGCCACGGTGAAGCTGGGCACTCCGTGCTACGAGATTGGAACAGCAATGCAAGAGACTTGTTTCTTCAGCAACTCGTCGAGCCTGTCGGGACAATTGCAGCTGGTCTCGAAGACACTTTGCACATCCACCCCGGGGACTCCTGATTGATCCGGCCATGCAAGCAGCCATGGAACCAGTAAAAACGCCAATCCGGCTCCTCCGTTCGTGCGTTCTCTGACTTGCTCCGGAGGGCTTTGGGTCCGGGGCCATGGTCTTCGGATACGGGCATCCTGAAAGCCGAGGTTCTCATGCACAAAGTGCTGCCGAACAAGATCCTTTTGAAGGCATGGAGTTCAAGTCAGCTGTAGCCGGCCAGGGACCTACTACCGGCCGTCTTGCAATAGACCATATCTGTCCACGAGTGATCGCATGTCCCTGTCTTGGGCGTTCGCGCAATCAACTGCAACGAATGCTTGCCAGCGACATGAACTCTGAACTCTTCTTCTTGTAATAATGGCAGACTGCAGATACACCTGCTGAGGCTTTGGACAAAGTGACAAGGACGCTACACCAGGCCAACGTCCAGCGTGGCCATGCCGCACATAGTGAAGCATGAGGTGCCAGATGCCATCGGAATCGGAAGATGGGTTAAACGTGAACAGGGCATTAACTGGCTTTCTTAGATACAGCATGGTTGCAGACGTCCTTTGTTGAAACGCTCAGTCAAGATTCCCAAATATTCCCAATAGCTGGGAGTGACGCCAAGAATTGGACCGGTAAACAAGGTGGAGACGACCAAGTCCACCTCGAAAGTTAGGCTTTGTTTCTTGTTAGTTGAAAAACTTTTCGTTTGCCATGCATGTTGGCTGCAGCAGCACAGCTGACGTGCTGGAACACATGTAGTGCAAGGCTAACCCGATAGGCCAGGATCTCTTCGTGGGGACGGCTCGGCATGAAAGACGTGCAGCGTTGCAACAGTCATTGTAAGCGCGCACAACGAGTCAAAGAGAGCAGCTTTCATCAAAGGGACGACGCGATTATTGTGCCGGAAGGAATGCCGACAAGTGATGTTAAATGTTAAGGCTTCCGTGTTTGGAATACTACTGGTTCTGATACTGCAAGAAGATGGATCTTGCAAACGATGGGTGAACCAAGCTGCAAGTCTGGCCCTGTAAGGAAGCAAGCGCAACCCAATTTGGTGTCTCTCCCTCTCTTGCTCTCTTGCAGCCTGCGGGGCGATTCCTCCCCATGCTGGTCGGGCCGGTCGGGGTTTTATCGAACGATGCTATTTCAAAGGCGATGGTCAACCTGTCGTCTGCTTTGTCATAACTTGTGCACTTGTTACATCATCTAGTAAGTTTCGACTGCGAGGGGAGCGAAAGCCAGCACTGCCCATTACAGGGGCAGACAACTTCTGGAAGGTGCAGTCGCAATTGCTTGAAAAGCGCTGCAAGGATGGGGTACGCAAATGCAGACTCCAGCGTGCCCATATTCAAGGGTGAACCTGCAGGACAAGGTTTGTTTTGCTTCATGTTCGGGCGTGATGGCAGCTGCCTGGATGCCACCGTCATCTGCGATCAAAATCAAACAGTTTCAAGCATGCTTCGACATTTTAGGCACAATCTGCGAACGTTATCCCAGGGTGGCGTGCTGTCACACGGTAAAATGCGGTGAGACCAGTCAGGACAAGCACCTCTGTCCGGGACCTTTCTGGATGGCAGCTTGGCTGAGGGAGGTGAGGAAACAGCACGTGATGTGGGAGTGCCTGGATCGTGGTGCATTGCTCGTTCTAATATCCTCGCACCACGAAAACGTGGGCATATAGGTGTTTCACCTTGAAGCTCGATGGCATCAACATCAGAGCGTCCCCAGTCTGGATCTGTATGAGTATGTCTTATTATGTCCTCACTACCGTCTACATCAACAGCATTCCAACCTTCAGGATAACATCCTACGTTTGTAATAGGCCGAGACGTGCGGGCATCCTCGTGATTCTATTGCCAGAACTGCGATGGGATGGGCCTGCCGCCATGTCATGTATCTGTGCAGCATCTAAGGTTTGGGGGTTCCTGTCGACATGCTGAGTTTGGGCGAGGCTTCTGTGAAGCCACTACGAATGCACACTTCAAGCGAGAGACCGGCATCTCCAGCAGTGGTCCGCAACCGTACTGAAATTGCTGAGTACAGGACATGAGCGGCAAGAATGTGAAAGAGCAGAAGCCTTTAGATCCCTTGGCAAGCCTTGCTCCTGTGCTGCAGCCAACAAAAGGTCGAAGCGGTTTCAACTTGCACCCATGCCGCATCTCAGGATGTGTTGCAATGCGGCCAACAACCGCGCTGATCGAAATCACTCTGTGCAGACAGATGCGAACAAGACAGATTCAGTTCGTTGAGTGCTGGTGTCAGTTTCTAGGCAAAGGTAGAACAGGTACTGTAGGAGCTCTTGCGGCCTGATGGCCACAGTTTGTTGATGATGGGAGTCCATGGCCATCTTGCCGCTGCGTGCGTGTAGCTTGTCAAGTTCAGGGAGGTCTTATAATATTATATGGTGCTGCATCCATGGTCGAGCTGGAGCAGACATAAACATGGCACCGGATGACCGGAACCGAGCTGTCAAGAATCGAAATCCGGTGCCTCCTAGATATTGGACGGGCAAGGGGATCCTGGCATGACATCAAGCCGGTATCATCGTCTTCGATGACATGCAGCAGTCGCAGGGTTTGGCTCAATTGCCCAGAGTGGCATCAGAGTCCTCCGTGCAGCCTCGACACCTGACATAGATTCCGAATCTCGCCACGGAATTTAAGCCGAGAAGACTCGGTATTCATGAATGCCTGTCTGTGAGTGTTACGAAGCTCGCCGCGAAATTGCAGCTAGGTTGACCGAAAATGCCAAGGTCAGAAATTGGAAATCATGGCGGACAAGACACTGAGTCGCAAAGTGTCACGCATATCGGGGATGCAGAGGGTCATGCAACGGTGGTGGGTTTAAGTTTCATCGTGAATCCTTTGGCTGAACATGAGAACGTATCCACATGATGAAGTTTTCTGCCTGTAGGGCCATCCACATACCTAGGCAGCTACGGTTCCTGGTGCTTCACAGTCCTTACCTTCGGGGGTACTTATCCATCGTAGGCAACAATCAGGTATGGGACCTGTGAAGGGGACAAGTCTTCAGACATCGGCATGGTAAGGATGCGAGTCAGGGACAACAGGCTGAGGAGCATGACATTGGTGGAGCTGCAAGCCGGTCGCTAGTTCTTCTTAGTGCTTTCACTAGCACACCTGGGGTTCATGCGACTGTTTCAGTCAGGACCAAGCAGGTGAGTCCAGAGCTTTCGGGCAATGCTGCTGCATCAAGTTCCGCAAGGTCCTCGACAGTGCTGTTAATGTATTTGGGGCATTTGCACGATTGATTTACAGTTGCCAGCAAGAGTCAGCAATCAAGTCTGCTGATCGGTTGGTCGTCCCATGAGTCTCGGCAGTGGAAAGACCACATGTAAAAATTCCGTGGGTATCAGCCAGGGCTCCCAAACGTCCTGAAACCCAATCGACTTGCCAAGATCATGAGGTTCATACATGTGTTGTGCAGAACTGTGTGTATGCTCTTTCCTGCGATGTCTTTTCCATCATACAGAATTGCTCTCTTCTGAGATAGTTGGCTTGCACATCACAAGATGAGCCTGAAAGTTGACTGTGGGGCAGCTCCTGGCTTGAAGGCTCTACTTTGATGAATTCCTCTGTGCTCACCTTGCCCCTGGGCCGGAATAGGTTGCGAGCGGGGCTTGCAATATTCCATAGCGGTTCACCCAAGCAGGGCTTCGGAGAGATGTTGAAGCACAGGTCCGAAGACCACCGAAGACTGAATGATTGTGGTTCGGCAAAGTAGACACAAGGAGTTTCGGATTGTGTGCTGGATGCATGGGGGCCGTAACCGCCCTTTCATGGGCCAACCTCATTTGGTGGAGACCAATCAGTTAATTAGGGGCATAGAGAGAGAGAGAGAGAGAGATGGCCCATCACTGTTCGGGGAGACACAAGCGGCGTGGAGTGGAGCTTGGATTGCACCTCTGGGAGTGGCACAGCGGTCGGGCAGCCTACCAAGCTCGACAGATGAACCACCAGAGGGGGAACCACAGCAGCCAGACACGTGGGGACCCACAGATGCAGAACTGGTGGAAGCGATGGCGACGTGAAGCCGAAGATATGGCGGCAGCTGCGCAAATGGAAGAGGAGGGGGACGACAAGCCCCACAGACCCAGCTCAAGATGCACTGAGCGGGGGAACACACCGTAGGAGGCGGTTCCATGCGGCCTTTCTGGAACGACAGATCCTAAACGCCAGCTGAGTAGAGCGAGCTTCACATGGGGGGGGATGGCCATAGAGTTGTGTTGAAGAGTTTGTTTCCTCATGCCTGCAAGTTAACAGATACCTTTGTTGCACTCAGTGTGGGTCGGCCGGAGCCTCAGCTTTCTGTGCAGTAGTAAAGGGGGACAGAGAAGGGCCACAGTTGTGAAAGCAGTAGTTGCAATGTACCTGGTAGCAGCCGTTGATGCAGCTGTAGTGTGCCTTGAAGTGTTTTCCGCAGCGAGCCCTGTGTATCACAGTGTCCCCGACAGAGCAAATAGGTAAAAGCAAAGAAAAACAAGGGGTGCCCCCAACACGGGGCATGAGTGATGAGGCACGAGGCATGGGATTCTCTAGTGTTGTAATGTTCCAAGGGGGTCGCTACAGCTGCCCAGCCGTGCCTCATCACGTCAATCACTCTCACACCGAGACTTGCACCAGTGCGCATGCGTGCGCGGGGGCGGGCTGTCCGGCCTTTCCTTTGGCTGAGTTGAAGGAGGAAGAGAGAGAGAGAGAGAGAGAGAGAGAGAGATGCTGTGAATTCTGCAGGTGCCTTGTGATTCAGAAGGCTTCAGGTTGCGTGTTCCCTAATTGGGGTCCTGCTTGCAAAGTTGTTCTTTGCGGTATTTTGCGGTACTTTCCGTACTGTCTCTCTCCATCTGTGCTTGATATGTATTGGGGGAATCCCTTCTTACTCCAACTTTGCCAATTAGCTAGACGGGCCGCTGGAGCCTTCCATACTCAATAATTTCCACGCCTCCCCTCGAGGCTTTGTACCATACGCACCGAGGGAAGTTCCTTCTCTCCGAATTTGCCAATTAGCCAGACGGGTCGCTGGAGCCTTCCAAACACAGCTACTCCTTGCCTCCTCCCGAGGCTCTGTGCCATACTGCACATTGCATTTTTGGTTTGACCAGGAGCTGACCCCCGTTTTTCAGCAGCTCAAGTTGAGCACGAGTAATTCTCTTTGTGCTTCTTTCCTCTTGCAGTGTCAATTATTAGCCAGCGCGTGGTCCGGAAAGACACGGGGACATACCAATTCATGCAAAGTGTCAGATGAACCGGGGGAGGTACTTAGTTCCCTACCGTATTATAAACATTCACTACGGAAGCACTCGATCCCGGAAGCTTCACGACGCCCTCAACGCCCCATAACCCAGGGGCGGCCCCGGGGGCCCGGGTTTGACACCCCCCCATCTGCCCCATGGAAGCAGAAGAGATAGAGATGAAAAGCCGACAGAGCTGGGAACCTGCAGGTCAAGATCTCAGCTGTCGTTCCGTAATTTGGTGGAAGTAAGAGGGACTGTTAAAACCTGGCAACCTCACAGAAGCAATGGGGAAATACGGATGAGTGAGATTTCTGCTGAAGAGATCTCCCCGTCATTATTGCCCGACGTCGCAGGAGTAGGTAAATTGATTGCCTGCCCCCCTACCCAGTCGTGTCGTAAGCTGGATGCTAGATAGACACGGTATTCAGTCCTGTGTCTTTGTGTCTGTCGTCGAGGCCATGGAATTAAGACATGTCAGAGTTCGCTGCCCTGTCGTGCATTTTTTCGACGCACTGTATCTTGCCTTTCCGATGCTTCTTTGCCTGCTCTTACTCGATTCTTTTACCTCGTCTCCCGTGTTTCCCACTCCCTCAACTCTTTCCGCACCACGTGTTCCCTCCTTCCCGACCCGGTCGGTCTCCATTTGTCGGTAGTCAATGCTACTGACTTTGTTTGCCAGGCTCAAACTTGGACCGCAGGATGACGTGGGAGTAGACTTGCAAAGCAGTCAAGAGCTGTGCCACGTGCCACCAAGGAGATCAACGAGATGGCATCGCAGGACAGGGCAACATACCTTCAGAATGTCGCAGTGGGATCAGGTCGGTTGAGATGTTCAAGGTATGGCAATTGTGTGGCGATCAGTTTCTGGGAAGATTCGCTCGAATCTAGTGCACCTAGTGCAAACAAGCTCGTACAGGAGTCTCTGGAGGCAGCGGTGGACATACTTCACAACATGCAGCGCATCAGGAAGAATGTCAAGGCAAAGAAAATACTCAATGCACCAACATGCCCTTGACATACATGCGTGACCGCTTCGCAAGCAGGCTGTCGTCATGCACTTGGAGGGCGTGTCTGCGCCAGCACAATTTCACAGCTACGCACTTGCAAGTGGCACCTTCCTAGTGGGACTGCGAGCTATCAGCACCCCGGCAGATCATCCCGTCCCTGATACTCTGAGTAATGGTTCTTAGTAAACTTTGATAGACACTGGGAGATGTCGTTTCTGCGAAACATGCTTCGCACCAGGTGTGCCAGTTATTTTGGCAGCTTGGGGGAGGATTTCAGGACCGTCTTGGAACCTGGCTTTGGCTTGCGACTATCGTATTGCTGCTTTGGACGCAGATTTCGTGCTGCCGATTATTTCCCCACCTGCAGCTCGGCAGAGAAGTGTTGGGCAACAGTTCACGTTTGGCAGATGTGGGGCCTGTGGGATGTGCAGAGCTGCCCCTCGCCTGCAAAGGAATGCCTTGGAGAGTTGGTGGGGCAAGCTGTGGCAGCTCAGCTGTCTATCAGCAGCGGCACTCTCGACTCACAGGGCTTGCAGGAGCTGGGCATTCTGAACCAGGTGAGGCCTAGCAAAGCCACGGGCTCAGTGGGGAAGAGTCGACTCCGAAGGTGATGAACAGTTCGCACAGGCACACGGTATGCCAGCTGCTGCACCCAGGACGAGACTTGCCGTGCTGCCACTGAGCTCGGCAAGAGAATTGCTGGATTCCCGGGCTTCTCGGCATGCACGATGCAGTTTTAGCTGCAAGCCAAAGAGGCAGTCGGCGCGCTTTTGGCACATGAATCCCTGTGTCTTTGTTGGGAGCTCGCAGCATGTGTGCGTGTGTTTTTGTGCTCCCCACTTTAGAAGCAACAGCGGTTGAAGCATGAGTGGTCTTCATGCCGGAGGCAGTATGAGGCTGTGAAAGTCAAATAATACTGCCACCAACTGCACAACAACT